TAACAACGCATCCAAAAAAACCGTCGACAGTCATTTGGATGGTACTTGTATTGTCCTTGTTTACTAGATGACCCCCACATACCGACGGAAGTAATTAATATTCAGTGTGGTACTCACGGTATGACTCACGCCTTACTGCGACAAAAGGGTTGCCGCACAGTGCTGATTGGCCGAGCATGACTCGCGATGTGACTGAAAGACGAAACACACCGGACACAATTCGACAACGCAGCCTGGATTGACTTGTCATGCCAAAATAGAAATCTGTTGCTTGTCCCGAGGAGACTTAAAAAGTAATATTTAGTGAGTATTCAGACTAATATTTCTGGTTTCTTTGTCTTGATGAATATATTTTGAACAATATACAGGGTGTATAAAAAAAATGGTAATCGAACTTCAGCGCACTATTGTACGTGAATTACTCGGCGTATGAACAAATGTTTTTCATATGCGGAAAGATCAGGCTTTTAGCTATTGAATGACATGTTTTTATGCCAAGTTAGCTATTGAATGACATGTTTTTATACGCAAACACGAGTCCGATAAAAATGTTAGTCAAAATTGCATATTTTCACCTCTGTGCCTAATTAAAGCAGTGCAGAAAAGAAAAAGCAATCAATCACGAACTTGTCGTAGCTTAGCTAAGATTTATTCCTACTTAATAATAGTGAATATGTGCGTAGTTTATTTTAAAAAAATATTTATTTAAAATTCTTTATACACGGTAGCTTATCAACCTATTTCTACTAAAAAAATTTAGAGAGTTCTGATAGTAATAAAGTTTCAAATCATTAAAATGGTTGCTTTTCATAAGGCCGTGTAGAAATTTAAGCTAAACAGTAGAACAACAATTGCACTAAATTATAGTAAATATCATGCACAAACAGGACATTATTACATTTATAATACTCCATAAAAACCCCACAAAAACATACACTCTAAGTAACAGTTTATTGAAAAAAATGTTTTATAGCAGTCACTGGCAACTTGAAAAATTGTTCAAAAATAAATTATTTTCGCGAATGAAATCTTGTAATTTAGTTTTGAAAACTCTCTCAGAAATCGTGAGATTTTTCAATTCAGTCGGCAAATTATTCCAAGTTTTTGAACCATGGTAGCTAAAATTACGCTTCAGTGCATTTGTTCTTGGTTTTGCCAGTTTCAACTTAGTAAAATTACTTCGTAGATTGTATTGATCGTTTACCGAAATGTGAAACTGGTCTGATATTGATGTAGGAACTTCCTTTTTTAGAATTTTGCGCATAAACAAGAGCGTCTTAACCAATCTTATCTGGTTTAGTGGTTGCCAATTCAGTTTGCTAAGAACATCTTTTGAACGAACCTCCTAGTTATCTCCAATTATAACTCTTGCTGCCCTATTTTGAAGCTTTTGAAGTTTCAATGTGAAATTCATCATTTTAAGTACCAAATGGAAGGGGGTTAATTTTCAATGGTTTTAGACCTCTCAACGGTGAAAATATGCGATTCTGACCAACATTTTTTTATCGGACTTGTACTTGCCTATTTTTTATCCATTTGGCATGACGAACATATCATTCAACAGCTAAAAGCCTGATCTTTCCAAATATGAAAAATCTCTTTCGTACACAGAGTAATTCAGATACAGTAGCGCGCTGAAGTTCGATTACCTTTTTTTTATACACCCCGTATACTACAGACAAATTCCGGTGATGACTCCCCTTTGTAAATAAATCGGCGATACGTTTATCTCCTCCTGAATGCGCCACACAGTAAGATCATCAATAACAATCAGGTTACGTTGAGTTATATCAAGAAAATCATAAGAATCAATTGCGGAGGGAATGCCTTTGAAAAATTCAATACCAGGAATACAGTAGTGTTGATCATTTCAAAATTTTGCCATTGTCCATAGCACCAGATAATACGGTTGGAAGGTGGATTGATAGTTGTTTTGGCATTCCCCAGACGAGTATTTAGCCGTACAGTTTTCCCACTGTATGAGCATCCAGCAAAAATGCATGTGAAGGGATGTTGCATCACTGTGGGTCCGCTGGCAAGAGGAGGTTCTCGTCCATTGTGTTGATTACCTCTTCGTGTGACGGAGACGGTTACTTAAATTAGCATAAGACTTACTGCAAACTTTACATACGTAGGACATGTTTCCAGATAGACTGTCAAGTATAGAATAAAGATTTCTCGGCAATGAAACCTTACTGAGTTATGCGACAATTCATGATTTTAGTAGTAGTCATATAGTCATAGTCACATACTCATAGTCATGTAGTCATATAGTCATAGTTACACACTCATAGTCATCTAGTCATATAGTCATAGTCATGTAGTCATATAGTCGTATAGTCACATAGTCATATAGTCATAGTCACACACTCATAGTCATGTAATCATATAGTTATATAGTCATAGTCATGTAGTGATTCAGTCATATAGTCATACATACACTCATAGTCATGTAGTCATATAGTTATATAGTCCTAGTCATGTAGTCTTATTATAGTCAATACGGGAAAGCAACACGTCGCCCATACGGATATCTTACCCTTCATTTAAAACCGGCTACATTTGATTAACATAGACTAAAGACGAACGTTTTACCTGGGGAAAATGACGTGCAACCAAACCTAAACAAATATATCCAAAAGCAATCATACCGATAGCCTCCCGTTCTTAACGCTATGTACAACACGCAACAACAAATGGAAAATATCATGAATTCTGCTCAGTTAACACCTGATGAAAAAAGATTGCACTTTATTTTAATGAATTGAATCGATTTCAAGCGTTTCGAAATAAACTATCCAGCTAGCTCCAAGATCAAGATCAGGTGCAAAATAAGTTTCAGAATCTGCTAATTACAGCTGCGGAAAACCTTGTGGGAATCTCAACTCCCCCAAAACAATCTGTATAAAGTCGTACAGACGATACCTTCCGAAAAGATTATCCGTGTTCACCAGACGTTCCCCCTATGTCATATTTTTAACACCATCTCCCACCATGACACCCCGAGCCAAAGCCATACTGGTACACAAATGACATTGATGTGGAAGAGAGTTGTTCAGATGAAAGCAATAATGAATCAGATGATGTTACTGTAGAGAGAGTAATTCAGGTGATGGATTATCGGTGCAACAAGACATGCGGTATTGGTACACAAATACCATTGATGTGGAAGAGAATTCGGATAAAACCAATGATGAATCAAATTATGTTATCGTAGAAGAGAGTGATTCAGATGATGGGCAGTTGGGACAACAAGACGATGCCAGTCATGAAGAGGACGATTTAAGGGAGAACGAAATCCCATATTATGCAAACGAGCACAAGCAAAAAATAATGCCATGATATTACCTTAGAAACGTTACAAATAAAACTTTGCTAAATTTGTGTATACGTTTACAAACAAATTAACATATTCTTACAAGTAAATATATGTGCGTTTATGTACTCCGTCGCAGTTTCGCTATATAGTATTACTGTATATATATTTCACTATATTTGTAAAGCATGAGTCACACCGTGAGTCAGCGCGCGGCGGCATTCCTATGTTACGGTGAATGAGGGCTCATCTACTTACAGTTTTCAATATTTGATCGTCGATAAACTGACATGACACTACCTTGTCCCCCATAATCTCATTTGCTATGTAAGTTAACTGTCACAAAGTAAATGTTTAATATTATGTAATCATTGGTTAAGGACACTATAGTTAGCCCAAAACTATTAAGCCTTATGGTTTTTATTGGGCTCCCTTGCCAAGTATAATGCTATATATATATATTTTTTTTGTAAATTTTTCCTATTTCAATTGGCTATTAAATTTGACTTGAATTGACGGATAGCATTCATTTTGCATGTTAATTAAACAACCTTTTGTTTGTGATTATATCCTGAAATCTTCTACTAAGTAACTAAGAAACCATCCTCTGAGATATGGAAATTTTGGAACTTAAGTTCTACTAGGAAAATAATGCAATTTTCAATTGATTAATCATGAAACATAACTTGTTTTCAATTGATACATAAGAATCATGCATATGCCGTGCTGGCTACAATGTATATAGAATAAGTGAGTTCATGTAAAACAGCGCCAAATAAGCTTGCTTAGACATACCTAGTCCTGATGTATCTGAAGATGGTCCAACACAACGAAAGCTCTCATGTCTCTGCAAAGTTAAAATCAAATTCACTCATGTTAATATAATCAATTAAGAATCAGGACCGAACAGGGTTTTCAGGTATTTAGACCATTTTACTTTCGGCATATGTATTTTATAAAGGTTACAGGACACCCTTTTGGCGTTTTGCGGAAAACTGCTACTGCGCGCTCAATATCAGTCCGATTTTAAACAAATTTTCACCAAATGTTCGCCAGTGAATGCAAAATATGGTAAAGTTGTAAAATTAACAAACAATAAAATAATGTAAGAATTTATTCAAGAAAATCTTAAATCGTGGTACCGTTACGCTTTTGAGTTGTGCGCCTGCTGGTTTTAAGTTATATTTACGAAAAATCATTTTTATACAGTAAATAGTTGTTCTAAAAAATTGTTTTCGGAAATTTTTGTTTATTTCGTCATTCCGCTGATATGACGATTTCTTTGACGACTGCAATATATTTCTGAATTGTTTGAGTGAATTGCTCTTTATTATTAAAATATACAAAATTAAAAAAAAGCCGAACACAATTTTGAAACTGACGGTCGTTAGCTATGTCCTGTGAAAATTTGAAAAAAATTGGTTAAAACCCGCAGGAGCACAACTCGTTTGAAAATCAGTAATTACCGTAAAATTTTTCGGGAGAAAATTGAATTTTAATATTATATTTTCAATGTTTTCTTATTGCAGCGAAATGCATTTAATTAAATAACTCTGCGAGTTTTCAACATTTTTCGTTCAAACTTGGTCAGATAGTAGAACTAGTCTAATGCTTTCATGGAAACCAATAAAAAAATTTTAGGCAAAATTAACACTCAAAGGTGTTCTGTAACCATAATTGTTAAAATAGGTTGAAATACAGGATATTTACCCAAGAATACTCAGGCAGATTGACAGACATAGCCTGAAAAATTAAGTATAGTCTGGTGTATCGAGAATGTTATCGAGTCTATTGGGATATGCTGGTAACCCTCTGGCTAGACCTGAAGAATCGTGTGTAAATTATTTTAAGCTTCAAAAAAAGTTTATTTAAAGACAGTAATATTTTTTTAGTAAATGTTCGTATTACCTGACTTGAATAATTGATCTTCAGTGAATGCCACAACGCACTATCTTTAACTTCATACGCAAGATATTCTTTGTCAAACATATACCCATTACCAACTTTCTTCAGTGTCTTAGGTAGCTCTCCTTTTTGTTTTTCGAATTGCCTCAAAATGTTTTTGAAATTGTCAATTCTGTGCTTCTGCTCTGTATTTAATTGTGTGCCACTTGGGTCTTTATAGACAGTATAAATAGCACTAATTCTATCAATATCATTAAATCGTAGAACACAAGGGTTATCTGTTAATTCAATCAGATTTTGACCATCGGAATGCTTTGCAAGATAATCACAAACGAAGCCGGGAAAAAAACCCTTCGACTTTTCTTTTGGACAAGAACCTGAAAATTGAATAAAGAAACAAAATGAGTTGATCGATACAGAATTATTAATTTAATTATAAATTTTATAAGCACAGAATTGCCCTAAATTTTCACACCAACGTGACTACCAAAAAGTAAGTGCTCAAATAAAACCAAATTTTAATCCAAATGTCTAGATTCTCTTTTGGTTGGATTAGGCATTAATTTGTTACCTTAAATATAGTATAAAAAATTAAAAAACAAAGCAAAAATATTTATTATTTACAAGGACGCCGGAAAGTCGATAATTGGGAGGGGCAGATATTCATATATTCGTGTTCACAGACTGTAAAATCAATCGCTTTCAAAGGATATAAATTATGCAGAACATGAATGTCTGCCCCCCCCCCCCCAATTATCGACTTTACGGCGTCCCTAATTATTTAACAAGTATTACTACATCGGTAATTATAAGGTTAAAAATAAAGAACAATTTGTTTTTACACATGCATGTATTTGATTTAATTCTATAAGCTTTCGGCCTATGTACTCGGGCCGTCTTCAGAGAAAGAACGAACATTAGTTAAGAAAGCTCAGAATAATGTTAATTAAACAAATCGTTTAACCACAAATTGTTCCTTATTTTTATTATGAACGCCATGCAAAGCCTTAAAAAAAAACAATTATAAGGTTGTTTTATGCTTATTTTTGGCATCTTCAAAAACAGTAGTTCAACGTTAAAACATCAAAACGCAGTCAATATTACATGTAAATTCAAGTGCTATATATCAAAAGTTAGTCCTTTCTGAATGCAATGATCTTTATTTCATTACGATAGCTTTTATGTTACATGCAATCAAACAGTGACCAGTTTTTTGGGGGGACACCCGGTATGTATATGTATGTATGTATGTATGCGTGTATATATATATATGTATGTATATATGTGTGTATATATGTATGCATATATATATATATATATATATATATATATATATATATATATATATATATATATATATATATATATATATATATATATATATATATTACGACAAAGAGATGGCTACGTATCGAAGAATTTATTGAAGATGACTAAAGTAAAGTATACAAATAATAAATTTTCGGCCACTTGACACGGCCTTCCTCAGAATAAAAACTAAGTTACAGCACATGGCATTTATACTATTTAGCATGCTAAGTAATTAACCTAATCCTATTGTTGTACAAAATCATGCGTAGAGTTAAGTCCTCTTCGATTAGTCAATAGCATACCAATCCAAAAATTTTCACATTCCCTTAGGTTGCCCTGGCGCCGATCAATTAGCATGAATTTCAACAATGAATAATCAGCACCATGACAATCCAGAAAATGGTTAACAATACCACAGGTTCTCTTATTGCGTTTGATGTGAGACTTGTAATTAGCGAGTCGGGTCTTAAAATTGATA